TTGCCGGCTGGGGTTAAACCACAACAGACGAGAACCAAATTCCTTGCTATCCAAAATAAACCATTTCTGGTTCAGCCACAACTGCTAGAAGCAGTAGAACACTTTCAGTGTAATGACACCAATAAATTGTTTGCTCAAAAGTCTTACCATCATTAGCACAGTGAAAGCATCTTTCTGGTTCTGAACCCATCACTTCCCCTTAGCTCGTTATGTCTCAAGCATCACCAGCAAATGAAGCACAGGCACAGGCCAAAAAGCATATTCATTCATTATTTCAAAATCCCGTACCTCTTAATTTAAAATTAATTTCAATTATCCAAAATTAATTTCAAATGCAAGTTCTCTCTGGTTCTCCAACACCCTTCATAATCTTTCCCCGCTCAGTAATGAGGAGCACGGAGTTTAACCTGCTTATTGTTTGTTTAGAGAAGGCAAAGTTTTCACCCTTTCCTTCAATGTCCTTGTTGCACAACACTCTTTAATAAGGTCCTCCCAGGCTGCCCTAGTAGGAACAAGAATTATCGCACAATACTTCTGTTCATTAAAATTGGTTTTGTGGATATTGATCTTGGAGACATAGGAGATCTGAAGTAATTTCCCCTTTGCCCTCTATGAAAGCAGAATAGCTACACACAACAGTAGACACATTGTCAGCCTTGCACAATGCTTCAGCCACAGAATTTGCAATCCAGTGCCTGAAACGTTAATACACCTAGTCTCACTACCCTGCATATCTTAGAAACCTCTCAAACTTAGAAACAACCACAGCGCTTTGTCAAAGAAGAATTACTGGAATGGGAGCCCTGTCCATGTGCCTCACGTGCAGTTGGCTCACCTCAGGAGAGAGTACATGTCCAGTAAATTGTTCTGTATCGGCGTCCCGGTGACAGCCCATCTGGCACTGGCTCTCAGTTTGCACACAGCTATAGAGGTTTGAACCTTAGGGTTTTTAATATTGTGAGCTTCATCCAATATAACTCGAGCCCAAGCTACCCTGAGCAGAGGGGAACAGGGAGATGACCCACTCTGAAAGAAAATCAGACTATTTATAACACAGAAAATAACCTTGCTAGGCTCTATAAAGAGCTACAAGCAAACACATTTTTCCAGCAAGAAGCCTTTTCTTGATGTTAGTCGCCAGTAATCTGAGCTCTTATTGTCATGTAAGAGATGCTCTCAAAAAAATAATCTCTCCAAAGTTTCCATGAAAGTTTATAAGCCAAATAATATAACGTTTGCCTGTTCTTAATAACAATTTCTAATCTTTTGCTGTTTTTCTTGCTTTTAACGTTTTGTCACCTCTTTCTTCCCAAGAGGCATTCCATTATCAGTAAAATTTTGCTAGGCTGGGACCAAGGACCAGGTATAATTATTCTGATTTCTCTACAGTTTTTTTTTATAGATGCCACCTTGATGTTTCAGGAAATTCAAAGGCCTGTTTGCTTTAAGAGCTACATCTAGATCTGTGCACAGAGGTAGGAGGCAAAAATATCCACCAGCAAGGGACTTCCTGTATACTGTGTAGCCAAATTCAGTAAGCATTCAGCAATCACTTTATTATTTTCATAGCCTAGCAAATACACTGCTGTTTCTTCAAGAGTGCAGCATGTAAGCTGTCACAGTCTCAGTTCAGACTGACCCAGAGCCTAAGCACAACAGGTTTCTGGTAGTTTAAAGTGACATTAGTGCTTCAAGCAGCAAAGAACACCAAACAGGAGATTCTAGTGTTCCTTTACGGTCTCACCTTGAAAGGAGGAGTATGAGATTCACCACTGTGCTCTTAAAATTACATTTTAGGACATTTCAATTTATTCAATGTAGCGTATTCTTATTACTACAGAAAGATTTATTGTGAGTATTTTTCTTTCTGCACTTCACAGCACTTTCTCTCATCACTTCATTTTTATTGTGCAAACTCAACAGGGGACTTACGGGGGGGGGAAAAAAAAAAAAAATCAACCGGCTGCTCACTGTAGCATACATAAGGTGCTACTTGAAACAATAATGGTTTGCAACACCTCAGAACAAAGTGATAAGGCAATCCTCTATCAAGAATATGGCTTCTCACCCCCACGTCATGGTCCTCAGCAGGGACTTCCCCCTCCTCTTTGCTTGTGGGAACCTCCTTGGAGAGAAGGCTGTAGGTTGTGACAACAACATCATATTCAGAGAGTCTGCACAAAAGGAAAATAGTAATTAGGAATAAGAATAGCTCAGGAATTTATTTTGCAAGGCAGACAAAATGCTTGCTTAAGGTTTAAGAAGCCAGTTCTACAAGAGCTGAAATGCAGAGTTTTACAGAAAACAGAGCTTCATAGCAGTCAAACAGGAAGGGCACGTTGTCCTCATTTTATGGATACTGACAGTAGACACAGCAAGTTCAAGACGGTAAAAGGCAATGGTACAGAATGCACTCCACATGAGAGGAACGCTACTTAGAATTTGGGACCTAGAAACACTGCTCAGCATGGCCTGAAGTGGTGTAGACAATTTTCTGATGTATACATACAGCTGATAAAAAAAAAAATATACAACCACAAAGCACAAGCATGGAAGAAACTGCCACTGACAATCTCTGCAAGCAAGAGATGTTTCAGAGAATGTACACTTTTTTTTGTTATCAGGAACAGCAATAGCCTGCACCAGAACCACGCAGCATGGGTACAGGCCATAAAGGTTTTGCTATATACACCTTGACAGCAGACATCAGCCTGACCTTCTGGATCCTCCACACTTCCATACTTCAGGTTCTTCCATCATTCTACAACCACTGAACTTCAACTCTGATATACACAATCTCTCATTAAGTAGTATTTTACTTTTCTTGGTCATATTTATGGTTTAGCACTTACGCTTCTACATGTTTATCTCTGTTTGGCCCATGGTACAAATACACCCTCAGTTTGCCACAGCCCACGTGTCTGTCAATCTCTTTCTTCCAGTGATGGACCAAGGATGCAGGACAAATGATTAAAGTGCTGTGGGAAGGGATAACAGTGGAATCTGCAGGGAAATATTGCAGACAAGATTTCAATGTCTTCACATTAGACTACAACAAAGACAGAAGTTTTAGAAAGTCACAACAATTATGAAGATTGGTCCAACTTTCCTGTGAACACAGTTTGTGAAGCAGACATCTCCAACATTGCCTTCCTGGGGACTGTTAGTTCTGGGTGGAAAAAACTGTACTTAAACACTAAAGCGTCACTTGCTCTCCACTCAGTTATACTATATATCCGTGCACTTCCTTTGGATAAGCTGAAAGGTTAGAATTCAGGAACTAACCCTGATCTCTCCTGAGAATACAGTTCCAAATAAATGCTTCTTTCCTGTTCTAGAAGACTGATATTTTACCATTTTGAACCACATATGGGAAAACAAACACACAGTCAGTAAACTTGACAAAACAGGAAAAAGTAGTCCAACTAATTCCATGAAGATAGAGACAGTGACAGGTTGTGGATACAGAAACTATACTGTTTAAAAACTCTAACATCCCTTATCTCCATGGACAAGAGAAAAGTAATCTTATGGGGGAAAAAGAAAAAAGAAAAAAAAAAATCAGTGACAAGGAAGTGAGTAGTAACTCATTTACGTCCTTATGCTATGAAAACTATGCATATGTTTGTATATGTTGAAAAAACTATGAAACTTTTTTCAAAACAGCATACGCTGACTTCCTGGTTTAGGAAACTAACCAATAAAAAAAATCCAAAACAGTATAAAGCAATGAGTTGGGAAATCCTACACATCCAATGGAAGAACAAATGACACTGATCAAGAGAAAAGCCTTGCAAGGGAGTGCAGTAAACATTAAGTCCCATGGAATTGTCCTACAGAAAGGAAGTGAGCACAGATAGAGTCTGTTGTTTTACAAGCTGTTAGCCTATAACGCTTTGGGTATTTCAAATGGCACTGCATCATAATGCATGTACTGTATGATGGAAACAATTCTGTACCATTTTTGGATAGCCGTATTTCTAACTTCTCCTTTCTTTTCTCTGCCTTCAGCTGCTTCTGGGCCAGAATGAGAGCGATCATCGTTAGAGTCTTCCCCAAGCCCATGTCATCCGCTGGAAAGAGACAAACAGAAGTTGTGATGACCTGCAGAAATGAGCCCCCCTAGCTCAGATCTACACTGAGGTAAATACTGCAACAGAAATTGCCCTGGGGAGCCCCTGGAAATAAAAATACACGTCTGATCATTTCAGGGTATGATTTAGTAATGGGTTAATACCTGTAATTGGTCAAAGGGCACAGAAAAACAAGCCCCTTGACATGCCTACAAAATAACTAGTTACTGGCCTCCGAGTAAGTTATAGAACAATAGAATCATTCAGGTTGGAAAGGACCTTTAAGATCATCAAGTCCAACCTAACACTGCCAAGTCCACCACTAAACCATGTCCCCAAGTGCCACATCTACACATCTTTTAAATACCTCCACTTACCTGGGCAGCCTGTTCCAATGCTGAACAACCCTTCCGGTGAAGAAATTTTTCCTAATGTCCAGTCTAAACCTCCCTTGGTGCAACCTGAGGCCACTTCCTCTCGTCCTATCGCTTGTTACTTGGGAGAAGAGACCGACACCCACCTCACTACAACCTCCTTTCAGGTAGTTGTAGAGAGCGATAAGATCTCCCCTCAGCTCCTCTTCTCCAGGCTAAACAGCCCCAGTTCCCTCAGCCACGCCAAGCTTTTGCTACCATAAATCTGCCCTCCAGAAACCACTTTCCCGTTCTGGTGCTTACCCAGAATTCCTCCACACGGTCTCTGACCCTCTCTCCAGAGTAGCCATGCAAGCGCTTGTTTTTGGTGCAGCAGCAGTGGAACCTGAGAGGGTGAGACAGAGGATTTGAAGGAAACACCTTGCAAACTTCAGACACTGCTGCTTCCTGTACCAAATTATCCAGTTGAACTGTCCCACTATAATCTTACTAAAAGGAGTTTGCCTACCTGTTCTTTTCCCACATGGATGGGGACACCCAAGATAAGCAAATTCTGCAGACAGGGGGTCAGCAGTACCACAGATCAATCTCACTCATGCTTTACACACAAACCATCCTAGCGCCTCACAGTACTCTGAGAGCATGCGAGAGTGGTTTGTTCAGGTGGAAGATCCACCCAAGCCTACCTTGCTCACAACAGGCATCATTGTCAAGGAGGGGGATTAAGAATACTTCCCCTTTTCTCACCAAGTCTAAGACCCCTACAGATTCTTAAAAGACAGGAAGACAGATTACATACTATCATCATAAGACATTAAATGGCCTTCCCCAGCACTGAAAAGGGCCCAAGTGGATCTGGCAAGTGACACAACATATATACATCAACACACCATCTTGTAGAGGCATGTGCCTTACAATACCTTGCACATAACCTCACCTATGGGTTCTGCCCCACCGTACAGATAAAGAGCTGCTCTTTGGTAAATCAGAACTGACTATTCTGAAGTCCATTGGGTTGCATGAACTCAATCATCTGCAACACTTTAAAAAGACTATTTCTTATAGCTCACTGGGAGACCTAACTGGGAGAAAAGAGTAATAATAAGGTTCTCACTAGACCTGCCTCTGCTCTGCCAGACGTATACAAACAAATGGTTGTGAGTTGGTTGCTTTGTCTTAGGTACTACTACTTCATGCAAGTGCTAAATTTTCTGAAGACACCACAGCAGGAGGGTAGAACATCAGTATTGCCAATCTGAAGCAACTCTTATGGGTGGGAAGTAATTAGAGCATCTCTTTCCAGCAGGCTGAAAACTGCAAAGTAAAATGCGAAAGGACAGGATGCTCTAGCATATCACCCTGACGTTACACTTCGTGATGGAGGTAACAGTAAACCTCTAAACTCAGCAGCACAACATCCTCCATCCTTGCCAACTCACCTTCAATCCAGAGGGATCTTCAGCTACTGTCTGCTCTGTTGGACAGGATTCCAGAGATTTGTGAAGATGATTAATAGCATCACTTGTGGCACTGTGTACAGCTCTGATTCGGTCTTCTGTCATTCTTCCTCCATATAGACTCTGCACACCAGAGTTCACTGGAAAGTATTATGCATGAGGTGCGTTTACAAAGCTAACTTTCCCAAGCAGATCTTTCATCTCAAGAGATCTCAGTGGCTACAGATACCCAAGGGACAGTACGCAGCTCACAGTACCAAAAGAGGTTTAGTACTCTCGCATATATCCAACAAGTTGCAGGATTCTTTCAAAACTAGTCCTCACCAGTGTTCTCTTCAATGAAAAAAAGCTCTTTCCATACTTACTTCCAAAACGATGGTCACAATATTCACTGGAACCCAAAGTAGCAGCATCAGAGGGGTGACTGCGTGAGCCTGAAGAGGTCCCTGCTGTAGGATCCTGGAGCGGTAGTGGTGTTATCAACTTTGTACCCCCTGGCCTGCCAAATGGGTTAGGCAAAGATTCCTCACGACAGCCACTGCTTGCACTATTCTCCCCTTAAGAAGAAAGGAATTGCAGGTTGAAAAGGCTGCACAATGGACCCCAGAGCCTTGCATTACAGCCCAGAAAAGGGTCTTTGTTTTGCCCAATGGTCTGCTTGCAAAATATTATTAAGCGGACACACGGATTTAACGGCAGGGTAGCAGGTTACCGTATCAGCTGAGCCACCGCAACTACTAACATGCATGCTCTTAGCCTGCTCCTACGTGACAGGCAATGCAGTTCACCTCAAGCGTCAATGTGTGGTTTATACCAACACAGTGAACTTTGCAAGTGTGATCAGATTAGTGCAAACACGAGGTCAATTCTGCACATTGTTCCCAGAGGATTTATTCCTTTTAAAGACATCTTTCTTGTCAATGTTTTGGTCACAAAAACTATCAAAACATCCAAGAACGAATGGGCTAAAACCTCTGAGCTTTTCTATCCTTCCTGGAAAGGTCTGTCTTGCTTAAAACCAGATATGGTATAAGACATTAGGACTGCTTGTTGTGTGGTGGCCTGTGAGTTTCTTTGCTAGAGATCTTCGGTTTCCAGAGTTGTCAAACTGGATCTTTTAATCAACACAATTGATATTATGATCACAGAGTAACTCTCCTGTTGAGGTGATCGTACAGGTAACTCAACAAAATGCCTCTCTTCCACAGGTGATTAATACTAGTTAATGGAATTAAGAAATCACTTTACAGGAATAGCACACTGGAAGCTGCTTATCTTGCATCTGGTAACTTAAACATTCAGACACAGCAGCCAAAACATGCGTAAGCAGCATGGTTCCGTACTGCAACAAAGAGGAAGTTAACACTTCACTAGCAAGCTCTCAGAGGCATACCTGCCTCAATCGTGTAGCTAAAGCTGGAAACAGAACTAGCCCTGGGTCCTAACTGTGGGAGGAAACTCTCTTGGGAAGCCACCACACTTCAGAAGAAACGTTTGAGTTGTTCCATTCATCCTCTCCCAGACACACACGTTGCAACTAAAACTTTTAATCTTCGGTGAATCTCAACAGACAAACTTTATACAGACCGCATATACAGACCATATTTAAGTTTATGCCATTTTTCCTCAATATTAACAACTATAGTTAAGACAAACTGTTTTGCAAAGTTCTGGGGCAAAAAAATTTAGCCCTACCTTTTTCAGTAGTGTCTGCTGGCGAAATGTTAAGAGCACCAAGTGCAGCTTCCAAATCCTGCACTTGCTTTAATAACCGTTCCCCTTTATCTGGCAGCAGCTGAATGTTGACTGTAGCCAATGTGCTCTGCAAAACAAAAAAGAATCCAAAACCTGAGTGTGCTTACCAAGCTGTTGTGTTTAACCCCAGTCAGCAACCAAGCACCACACAGCCGCTCGCTCACCAACACCCCACCCCCCTCCAGTGGGATGGGGGAAAGAATTGGAAGAGCAAAAATAAGAAAATTCATGGGTTGAGATAAGAACAGTTTAATACTTGAAATAAAATATTATAATACTAAATTGTAATGAAAAGTAAAAGAAGGAGAGAGAGAGAGAGGGAGGAACAAAAAAAAAAAACAAATCAAACAAAAAACCAACAACAAAAAAAAACCAAAACAAGTGATGCAACCGCTCACCACCCACTGACTGGTGCCAATCCCATCCCTGAGCAGCGATTGCCACCCCCCAGCCAACTCCCCCCGGTTTATGTACTGAGCATGACATTATATGGTATGGAATATCCCTTTGGCCAGTTAGGGTCAGCTGTCCTGGCTGCGCTCCCTCCCAGCTTCTTGTGCACCTAGCAGAGCATGGGAAGCTGAAAAGTCCTTGACGTATATAAGCACTACTTAGCAACAACTAAAACATCACTGTGTTATCAAC